TTATGTGAACACTGCTTCGAATTTTTCTATGAAGGGGGAGTGAGATGCATTACTTTCACCTTTACATTTACTTAGAGCCAAGGGAGGGATTATTCTGACCTTTGGAAAGTAAAAGACTAAATACTAAGTGACCATGAATCAGAGTCATTATGGGTGTTGTCCTGGTGTTTCAGACTTACCTGGTCTCTGAAACTGGTTCCTGGTACAGGCTAGGGGTGCTCTTAGACACACTGTGTGCTACCCCACGAGTGCCCTAGATGTGGACACACATAAATTAAACATGTTACTATGCCCATTCACTGCTGTGATGTAGGTAAGAGAACATGGACCTTGGGGACCTCAGTTTGAATCCTGACTTGGCTACTGACTGGCTGCCTGCAAGTCACAAACCTGTCTATGCTTTAGTTTCCATAGTTGTGAGTTGGGAAAGATATGGTAATAAAGCTAACAGTTACAGAATGCTTACTATGTGCTGGGCACTGTTCCTTTTATATATTAACTCATTTAATTTTTAAAAAATAAACTATTTTTAAAGCAATTACAGGTTCATAGCAAAATTGAACTGAAAGTACAGAGCTCCCATATACCCAGTCTGTAAGTGTTCATTCTTGGTGTTGTCTCTTCTCTGGATTTGGACAAATGTATGACATTGTAGTATAGAGTAGTTTCACTGCCCTAAAAATCCTCTGCCTGTCCATCTCTCCTTTTCCCCAACCCCTGACAACCACTGATCATTTTATTGACTCCATAGTTTTGCTTTTCCAGAATTCCATAGAGTTGGAATGACACAGCCTTTCCAAATTGACTTCTTTCACTGAGAAATATGTATTTGACATGTCCCTCCACATCTTTTCATGGCTTGATAGCCCATATCTTTGTTGTGCTTATAAGATTCTACTTTCTGGATGTACCACAGTTTATCCATTCAGCTACTGAAAGACATCTCAGTTACCTGTAAATTTTGGCAATTATGAAGAAAGCTATTACAAACATCCATGTGCAGGTTTTTGTGTGGATATAAGTTTTCAATTCATTTGGGTAAATAACAAGGAGTGCAACTGCTGAATCATATGATAAAAGTATATTTAGTTTTGTAAGAAACTGCCAAACTGTCTTCCTAAGTGGCTGCACCATTTTGCATTTCTACCAACAATAAATGAAAATTCCTGTTGGTCCTTGTTCCCGCCGGCATTTAGTGTTGTCGGGGTTATGGATTTTGGCCATTCTAATTGGTGTGTAATGGTATCTCATTCTGTTTTCGTTTGCAGTCCCTTATGACATATGATGTAGAGCATGTTTTCAAATGCTTATTTGCCATCTGTATATCTTCTTTGGCTCATTTTAAAATCAGATTGTTTCTTTTCTTATTGTTGAGTTTTAAGAGTTCTTTGTATATTTTAGATAAGAGTACTTTTTATCAGATGTATCTTTTGCAAATATTTCCTCCAAGTCTGTGACTTGTCTTCTTATTCTCTTGACTTTGTCTTTTGCAAAGAAGTTTTTAATTTTAATAAAGCCCTGCTTATCAATTCTTTCTTTCATGAATCATGCCTTTGGTGTTACATGTAAAAAATCATCACCATACCCAAGGTCATTTAGATTTCTTCCTATGTTATCTTCTAGTAGTTTTAGTTTTGTGTTTTGCATTTACGTCTATGATCCATTTTGATTTTCGTGAAGGGTATAAGGTCTGTGTCTAGATTCATATACTTGCCTGTGGATGTCCAGTTTTTCTAGCACCATTTGTTGAAAAGACTAAACTCATTTAATTTTCAAAACAAGTTTTGGGGCAGGCACTATTAATATCCCCACTTTTCAGATAAAGAAACGGAGGCACAGAGAGATTTTATAAGTCACCCAGGGTAGTAAAGCGAGTACTTGACAGAGCTGGAATTTGAACCGGCAACCTAGTTCCAGAGTTCATGCACTCAATCCCTAGCTATAATAATCATGTCTCTCTCATAGATTTGTTGTGACAAATAGAGATAGTGTCTAGCACATAGTGGGTTCTCAGGAAGTAGCAGTGACAGTCATTTTCCTACATAGCCTTCAGGGTTCCAGTCAAATGTCAAGTCCTCAAAGCAGCTTTCTTTCCTTCCCTGCTCCCCAAGCCCCCATGTGAGCTCCCTGGAAAGAGGCTCCATGTCTTCTAGCTGTGTCCTCCAAAGTGCCTGGCGCTGCACTTGGCACTTAGCAGGCTCTCAGTCAATGTCTGTTGAATTGAGTTTGGCCGAATGCTATTCCTTTATTTACAATACACATCCTGGGTGTGGTCTGTTCCTCAAGATCTCCCAGCTCTTGTTCAGTTCTTTGCTCCTGAGCTCCCTGCCTCCAACTTTCCCGGGAAGTCAGGTTGGACCACCCCTGCCTGGAGAAGTTCCTGGTTGGGCTGTCTGTCTATAGAGGCAACTGCCCTTGTCTGCTACACTCTGTTTCTAGAACTACTCTATTCAGTTTTTCCCATGTTCTGGGGTACCCCACTCTAATATGGACACTGTCTGTAGAAGTGCCTTCTCCCTGCCCCCTCCCTCTTTTCTCTCTCCAGTCTCAAGACAAAGCACCTACATTGAGGCCTAGTCTCTAAATGCCTCTGGCCTTTCCCAGGAAGTCTAAAATTCCTCCTCACTGGGTGGATCAGCTCACTTGATATTTACAGAACAGGACAGACCCAGGAGCACACCTCATTCCAAAGAGCTTCTCAAAGGTGTTCATCTTGGCATTATTGGGCTCCTTCAGGGAGTGAGTGGCACTTACGGCTGTGTCCCCTGGGCCCTGGTACACCCCTCAGGCAGCTCCACCTGAGGCAGGGCTCTCTCAGAGCAAGCCTGCAGGAGCCTGTGTCCACCTTGGGGGAGTACATTCTGCCAGTCCCACCTTGGACATGGCAGGCGGTGCCTGCTTTGGACGGAGCCATTGGGCACCATCCCGCAGCACCCTGTGTCTGCCTCTGCAGAGCCACCCTGGGAACATGAGGCCAGCAAGGCTCTGCTGCTTCCTCTGAACAGCATGACCCTGGGCTGCACCCTCTTGGACACAGTCAGCAGAGTCCAGTGCCCGCCTTGGACAGAACCTGGCCTATGCACTCTGCTGCCCGCCCCGGGGATGCCCAGCAGCCTCTAGGGCCCAGTGCAGGCAGGACCTCAGGCAGGACCCCGCGGACACGAACTGCGGTCTCCTAGGGCAGCGCTGGGCGCTCGCAGGGCCGGCTCTGGAGGCGCGCCCGGGCGCTG